GCTCTCAGTCCATATTAAACATATCTGATCCTGGAAGGAGGGATGGAACTTCTTCTGTGAAACTCTGGCAAGTAAATGGTAAAACCCTGAATGAAAGTTTAGAAGGGATACAAGATAATGTGGGGAAAACTATGTTTGGAAAAGTTTTTATTTTACACTTGTTGTCACCCCTGAATTTCATTCTGCAATACAAAAATTGCCGATCTCCTTGGGAAACAATACCTATATCTGTTGTGGTAAGATCTGTTACCCTTGGATACCGAGTAATGTCCAGGGCTGGTGCTATGTAGCCCAATTAGTGCCAATTATGGCAGCTATAGACCAAAAGGAACACCAGGTAAAAGCCAGTACATACCCAAAATACCAACTAACTCTGAGACAGAGAAGGGAAACCAAACAAGAAAAGGTAGATCTATTCTCTACAGGTGATAAGGTTTGGTCATGGTTCCCTACCTACACGGGATGGGGAATAACACTTATGAACAAAATAAATAATTACACAAACATTATTGATGACATACTGGAGAGGAACTCTAAGGACATAGGGTTGCTAAATACTGAGACCAGAGCTATTAGAAAACAGCTGGAGATGCAAGAATTAGCTATTGAAAGTATGAGTGCTGCTCTGACAGGTTTGTGTGAGATGACAGAGGATTATGAATGTTGTACTTGGATATATAATACCACAATGACTGTTCCAGATTATTATGAAATAATAAAGCAACACAGGGAACAGGTAGATGGTTTGATGGAAGAAGCTAGAGCTATAGGAAAAGATGGATGGACTCCTTTTGATTGGTTAGGATCAGGATTTGGTTCATCTTTTCATGGATGAAAGGTATCGCGGTAAGCATAGTCATGATATTGTTTTTTGTTTTATCTTTATATCTATGTTTTAAATGCTCATTATATTGCATTGCTAGAGCTACCAAGCCGCAGAATACAAATGAAGGTTATCTAGCTATGTACAGAAAGATGAATGAAGTAAAGAATTGAGATCATGTTCATGATCTTAGAGGGGATTGAAAGGATCTAGATAACTTCCATTTTGTATTATGTACGCCATTTTAAGTATTAAGTATTAAGTTAGTTTTTTGTAGAGATATTAGAAGTTTAATGAAACTGTTTTCAGTTGTTCAAGGATGTATCAACAGAAGCTAACACGACCCTGACAATGTTTTTGTCTGTCTGTTTTCCCTAAAAGTTAGACAAAACAATTTGTACCAAGAAATGTATATGTCATGTTTCATGTAGTTAGCTCATGATGGAAAGTTACAAGTTACAGTTTTGAAACTCGCTCCCCCCCCCTCCCTTATGATTATCTGTAGTCTATATAATCTTATTAATGTCTAATAAACTTTGAACATCTCTGAACATAAGCTGTCGTGATTTCCGTGTTCAAGGGGTGTTCCCAGAATTCTGCTGATAAACCAGGAATCTCTCCACAGACCGGGGGTCTCTGAGGGAAAAAGAAAATCATTCCTTTCAGCACTGAGCCTATATAAAGTTTTTTTAAAGCCTCTTTGGGGGAGTGCAATAATGGCAGGTCTATGTCGCAGCCCACTGATGTAACTGGCATCCTCTGAACTAGCTGCTAGTACATTTATAGCTACCTTCACTTTCAGGAAAGGTTTGAGGTAGGGATCATGGACTTCATAGACTCTCTGCTCTTTAACCACTTGCCCTCTTGAGGATTTACCCCTCTTCCTGATCAGGCCATTTTTTGCGTTACGGCATTGCGTTACTTTAACTGACAATTGCGTGGTCATGCAACACTGCACCCAAATGAAATTTTACGTCCTTTTTTCCCTGCAAATTGAGCTTTCTTTCAGTGGTATTTTATCACCTGTGTGGTTTTTATTTTTTGCGCTAAATAAAAAAAAGACTGACAATTTAGAGGAAAATTTTTTTTTTTACTTATTGCTATTAAACATGTCCAGTAAAAAAATGTAAAAAATCTAATTTCGTCATAAATTTACACAAAAATGTATTCTGCTAAATGTCTTTGCTAAAAAAAAAATTCAAATACGTGTAAATTCATTGCTTAATGTAGAAGTTATAGTGTTTAAAAATGGCAGTATATATACTGGGAATACAGCCATCCAAAGCAGTATTCCCGAGCTGACATAGAGGAGAACTGTTAGTCAATTAAACAATTCTCCTCCACATCAAAGATCCTCGGAAATCACTGGGTGCTGTTGAATCATCACCGGCCGGGACCCAGCGATTGACACAGCCGCAACCGCGAATGGCGGAGTGGGTAGGGTGCGCGCACGGCTCCCGCACGTCCCCTATCCGGAAATGCAAAATCACATATAAGTACGTGATTTTGCGCACCCGTGCCGTCCTGTAGCAGTACTTCTGCTATAGGGTGGTCGGGAAACAGTTAATAATAAGTCTAGGTTCACACCTATACGTTTTCCGCTGCGTTTTGCATTAACATTACACATCTCCGTGTTTTCACCCGGTGCGTTTTTTTTGGAAAGGGGCAGAGACTTTTTTAAATGCAAAACATTGCGTTTTTGTTTCCATAGAACTTCAATGGAGATGCTGAAGCAAAGCATGTACTACATTTTTGATGCATTTTATTCTGCCCAGCAAGTTAGAAAAAAAACCCTGCAAAATGCATCAAACATGCGGCAAAAACGCAAAACACACCGCAAAAAGCACTGCAGAAAAGCATCAAATGCAAACTGCATAGGTGTGAACCTGTCTATCGCGCTCATAGCTGAAACAAAGTGCTACAACAAATAGCCAACATCTATAGTTACCTTCCTGGAGAGACAGGTCTCCGGACTTGGAAGATACAGGCCAAGGTATCATTAATACACCAGGATATCATAGAAAATATAAAAATTACAATTATCTTATGCAGAGCTTTTTTTTTCTCAGAGAATAGGTCCAGGAACTCCCCTCTTCTGAGCCACTTCTTGTCTCTGCCCCCCTACCCACTTGCAAGCACAGTCCCTGTGTTCCACCCCTTAGCTACCTCCCAGCACTGCTCCCTATAGAGAATACAGAGCTTCTATGGAATTTGTTAATGATAACAGTAAAGGCAATAACCCTCCCAGCAATAATGGACCCCCACAACAAAATACTACCCCAACAACAATAGACCCCCAGCAGCCAACATCAATAGACTTTCAAGCAGCCAGCAACAATATACTCTTCCTCAACAGTAAATCCCTTCCAGCAACAACGGACCTACAGCAACAATAGACTGCCACACAAAAACAGATCCCCTCCAGTGACAATAGATCCCCCAGCAGCCAGCAGAACAGACCTTTCAGCACACCCCTTACCATTACATACATTCAGTGCTGGAGGTGCTGGAACTGCATCCCCCCATGTTCCCACTGAAAAAATGCCCCAATCTTATGTCATTTAGGCATGTCATGATTACTGTGAACCAGTTATGCTGGGTTCATCTCCTAATTTGGCTGGTTTCTGCCCAGCTCTTTTTTCCCTAGATTAAAAGGTAACCTCACACAGAATACACACGTTTAAATAATGTAATCCAGCGGTTCTCAACCTGGGGGTCACGAGCCCTTTGGGGGTCGAACGATCCTTTCACAGGGGTTGCCTAAGACCATTGGAAAACACATATTTCTGATGGTCTTAGGAACCGAGACACCGCTCCTCTATCCGTCTCCAGGTGGGTCCGCCCACATGCAGATACGCCCACATACGAGTAAGAGAACAGTCAGCAGTGATGACACCTGACCCCTCTGCCCCAGCCTATCATCTCCAACAATATCCGCCCCGCCCATTGTCTGCACTGCTCCCCCAATCATCGCTGAGCGGCGACATCATCCCCAGCTCTAAATGCGGGGTGGGGCTTATCTGGATTAAACTAGAACTTGACCAACCAGACGAGGTGATGTGTCAATGGGAAGCGCCAGTGAAGAAGTGAAGATTGGGCGTGGCCTCTGTAAGATAGCCGGCTAGCTGGGGACTGGGTGGAGGAGGGGGGAAAGCGGATCCAAGATGGCGGCAGTGTGGAGGTGGGAGCGGGCCATGTGTGAAGAGAGCTGGCTGCTCTGTGTGGTGAGGATGGGGGAGGTGTGATGCCTTGTATTGCGGGAATGAGAAAAGCTGCTGCATTTATGAAGTAGCAACGAAAATAATTTTATGGTTGGGGGTGGCGGCATTAGGAAGGTTGAGAACCACTGATGTAATCCAACTACCCCCGAGTGAAAATTCTTGCATTTGATATGCTAATAAGGAATCCATTTCTGAGCATGGCTATTAAATGCAAAAAACATGCAAAATTCAAAAACAACAAACAATGACTGACAGGCACTGTCAACATAATCAGTTACAAGAAAATGTAATGGAATTCTATGATGAATGGATGTTACCTTGTAGGAATAGAAGTAAAGTTGATTCTTGACTGCTGCAGATAAGTGAGCAGACTCAGCCAGATCAAAGATAAAGAAGGCAGTTTTAACTCTGGAAAGATGACAAAATGCAAAAATTACAAATTCCCATATAGCCTCCGCTGTACAATAGAAGGATGACAATTGCTACATGAGCAACATTTGCACACATTGCTGCAAAAACAGTCAGACTGCCCTATTATACTTCATTAAAAAAAACATGGGCTTTACAAGCTCATTCATTTACCAATTTAAAAAAAAACTATACCTTGCTTCCCACATCTCGCCATTGGCCACTGCTTCCCAGGACGACTGTTCAAACCTTATAGGATAGAAATATGTTATCTATAAAATGTAACACCAAATTAATAACTATAAGGCTCTATGCACACTAGCATTTTTTAAGCTCCTAGAAGCTGTTATGAGCATTTTTTGTCTGCTCCTAGAAGTGAAACAGTGTTACCCTATGTGTTCATGTACACTACTTTAGGCTATTGGCATTCTTTGAGCTTCAACGTCCAGGAGCAGAAAAAAAAATTGTTTTTGTAGAGTCTTTTGGAGCGCTTTTTCAGCAGAAAAAAACACTAAACGCTCCTAAAACAGCTTTTTTCTTCATGCTCCTAGACCAGGGCTTGCAATTTCCACTCGCCTGCTCGCCAATGGCGAGTGGAAATTATGGTGGGGGCAAGTGTATCCCCCAGGGTCGTCTCGCTGAGCAGGCTCGGAGCTTAGGCCGGATCTGTCATTGGCACTGGGAGCCATCAGACTGCTCAATAGCTGAGCTCAATGAAAGCAAAGGAAGGAGTGTGTGCTGTGCTCTCTGCCTCCCCCTAGAGTGCAGTACCCCCGGCTCTGTGAGTGAACAACGAGGTACTGCAACTTTTTATGAGGGGTGGGGTGTGCGTACATATACATGTGTGTGTGTTTGTGTGTGTCTGTGTATGCATGTACAATTGTACATGTTTCTGTGTGTATGTACATGTGTGTATCTGTACATGTGTCTGCGTGTATGTACATGTATGTGTGTCTGTGTACATGTGTCTGTGTGTGTGTGCATGTACATGTGTGTGTGTGTATGTATGTACATGTGTCTGTGTGTGTATGTACATGTGTCTGTGTGTGTATGTACATGTGTCTGTGCATGTGTATTTCTGTGTATGTACATGTATTTGTGTGTATGCGTGTCTGTACGTGCCTGTGTGTGTATACATGTGTCTGTATGTGTGTGTTTGTGTACATGTGTCTCTGTGCGTGTATGTACATATTTCTGTGTGTGTTTATGTATATGTACATGTCTGTGTGTGTACAGGTGTCTCTTTTTGTGTGTGTTTGTTGGTGGCGAGTAATTCTTAAGGCCTGGCTAGTAGCTCAGGACTTGAAATTTTAAGCCCTGTCCTAGACGTTACGAAAATGCTGCTAAAAAACGCTGCTATCAGCGTTTTTTATTCAGCGGTTTCTCTAGATTAAAAAAAAAAAATGCTAGTGTACATGGAGCCTAAAGCAGCTAGATATATAAATTAAATAAATTCCACGCTTTAGGAAAAGGGCCCTCCAAAATAATTAGTCCACACAGGTCAGGGCAGGCTCATTTCAGACTTGCCAAGCAATTAGTGTAAAATACCACCATTAGCAATCCCAACATCCGACACACGATAGGCCTTGCTGCTTTCTTCAATTAGGGGGAAAACCAATACTACAGGACAAAGATAGGAAGAAAGCACACCAGCCTAGTCCATCCACCAGGGTACAACTTACGAGTTTCGAGGTTAATGCCCCCTTCCTCAGAGCCCCGAGGAAGGGGGCATTGCCCTCAAAACGTGTAAGCTGCACCCTGGTGGATGGAAGTGCTTCTGGTGTCTTGTTGGACTATTATATGCACTTAACTATTTATTTTTGTGAGTAGTTTGGCATTTTCTCTTACTTATATTAAAGTCCTCTGGCAAAGCACTAGGCCAGTGTGCTTTATTCCTATGCTTGCCCTATAAAGCAGGTAAAACTCATTTAATACAGGCTTCTTATGTTGGGGTTGGAGAGAGTTTGTAAACTTAAATCAGCAGAATGTACAAAAAAAAACCAAACAACCATATAATTTTTCACAGCCATTTTCAAAGAGGTCAGCCAGGTTAGAGGACAGCAGTTAGACCTGGCAGCAGATCAAACTCTGCGACATTTCACCCAAAATAAAGAAATACTCTGGAATGACGGATCTCCTTTCACCATTAACATTTACACAATAGAGCTCATAAATGGGGAATTACAAGATGACAATCAGTTTTGCTATAGTATATTGCAAGGAGGATGTTGTTAGCAGGAGAGAACAGAGTGTCAGAGAGATGATCTCAGGAGGTTACTGCTTGTCCTAGGAACAAGTCCTACAAGTGTTACTGAACTGCAGCAGAGAGAGGTTGGATCTCCTGCCAGACAGGGCTGTGTGGTGTGGCAGAGCTGTGTAAATCTCAGTACAGAATGGACAGAAATACAAATCCATTAGAGTAAAAGCTCCCTTAAACATATTTCATTTGTGTGTTTATCTGTTTGCCTGAAGTTTAGTTTTCTCAGCTAGACAATGACCCTTACAACTATCTAAGCATATATTTTGACTGAGTTCTTCCTTTTACCTCGGTTAACACTAGAATGAGATGTGGGAAACCAACAAAGCATGTGCGTTTCCTGCACCGCATTCAAACCACACTGCCCTTGCAATCTGCAGTTGGTGTCAGTGCAATCTTAACCCCTTCACGCCTAAGGGTAAAACAAATCTAAATGCCTAAGCACAATTTTGCAACGTTGACATGTGTTAGTAAATTCTAATTTAATTTCTAATTTTGGCCAATATAATATTATGGTATATTAGTTCATAGAGCTTGTTTGCTTCATGTTTTACCCATGCAGCCATTTAGGATTTGAAGCTATTTAGTTTTGCAGTTTCATTCATTCTTTTCTTAATGACCCCCCAAACGCAGGTCACAAACACGGTGCGTTTGCCTGCACCAGATCTCATGAAATGACCATGCAATCTGGTTGCAATGCTTTTCCAAAATTGGTGCATGCACGACTTTGGTGCGATGCGGTGTGCTTTGAGCCACCGCACTAAATCGCATGTGAATTGCACACAACTATGCTGCACATTCCTGTGTAATTCATATGTGAGTCATAGAATGAACCAAGGCTAAATGATTCTTCATACTCCCTGGCTCATTGTCTATGGCTACCCTGTCTTCCAAATGTAACAAAGGAAAACAAATGTGTTAGAACACCACAGTAGTACATCTAGTGACCACAAAACAGCAAGCACACATACTTTCCATAATCCTCTGTCCAGTTATACAGGTTGGTGGTGATTGTAATCCATTCCTCTGCATTGAAAGGTGTGTTTTTTGGGACAAACTTCTCACACGATCCCCCCATGGCCACAATGAGTAGCTATTCCTCCATGTTGGATCACCTTCATTCAGGCCAATACATACAAATGTCTCCCTGCTGTAGGGAAAAGAATAAAACATGTTAGGACAAAAAATGGCATACAAAACACAATGGCTCTAAGTGAAACCAGCCTAGAGTATTATACAAAACATTTCATAAAATTAATCTGGATAAAAGAGAGAATAATTGGGTTTTTTTCTGTTTGTTCAAAGCTTTTTATCCACTTCCTGTCCCTGTGACACCTGTATAAAAAAATGGAGGGGAGAGGGCTGCAGTTGTCAGGGTTACAGAAAGGCAGAGAGAGCAATAAAACACTTAGAAAGTGAGAATTGCCCCAAAAGGGACATGGCAATAAAACCTTGACAGAGGTTCTAACCCCTTCCATTCTATATCCAAAGCACTAAAAATGTTTTGGTTTGTTTTGGGCCTGAATTTCATTGGAACATTTCAACTAATTAAGCACCAACTGTGGCCTTATTTAATGGTAGCCTGTCACAGACCTTTGCAATTAATTTTGGTTGAATGAGCCCACATACTTACATACACTGTAAAATCTTTTGGAAATCCCATATACCAGGGGTTAAAATTTCGAGTCCAGACCTACTAGCCGGTCACAAAACTTACTCTCCACCAGTTGCCCCACCTAACCCCACCCCGGCCCGCCCCCAACCCCACCCCCTTAAAGCTTATGAAATTACATTTTTCTTTAGAATAAATAGTCCAAAATATAAAACTGTATACAGTAATGTATATCCCAGCTCCCCTGTACTCCATTATAGTGATATGACATGTATACAGTATGTATATCCCAGCTCCCCTGTACTCCATTATAGTGATATGACGTATACAGTAATGTATATCCTCCTCCCCTGTACTCCATTATAGTGATATGACATGTATACAGTAATGTATATCCTCCTCCCCTGTACTCCATTATAGTGATATGACATGTATACAGTATGTATATCCCAGCTCCCCTGTACTCCATTATAGTGATATGACATGTATACAGTAATGTATATCCCCCCTCCCCTGTACTCCATTATAGTGATATGACATGTACACAGTAATGTATATCCCCCCTCCCCTGTACTCCATTATAGTGATATGACATGTATACAGTAATGTATATCCCAGCTCCCCTGTCCTCCATTATAGTGATATGACATGTATACAGTAATGTATATCCCAGCTCCCCTGTACTCCATTATAGTGATATGACATGTATACAGTAATGTATATCCCAGCTCCCCTGTACTCCATTATAGTGATATGACATGTATACAGTATGTATATCCCAGCTCCCCTGTACTCCATTATAGTGATATGACATGTATACAGTAATGTATATCCCCCCTCCCCTGTACTCCATTATATAGTGATATGACATGTACACAGTAATGTATATCCCCCTCCCCTGTACTCCATTATAGTGATATGACATGTATACAGTAATGTATATCCCAGCTCCCCTGTACTCCATTATAGTGATAGGACATGTATACAGTAATGTATATCCCAGCTCCCCTGTACTCCATTATAGTGATTAGGACATGTATACAGTATGTATATCCCAGCTCCCCTGTACTCCATTATAGTGATATGACATGTATACAGTATGTATATACCCAGCTCCCCTGTACTCCATTATAGTGATATGACATGTATACAGTATGTATATCCCCCCTCCCCTGTACTCCATTATAGTGATATGACATGTATACAGTAATGTATATCCCAGCTCCCCTGTACTCCATTACAGTGATTATGACATGTATACAGTAATGTATATCCCAGCTCCCCTGTACTCCATTACAGTGATATGACATGTATACAGTATGTATATCCCAGCTCCCATGTACTCCATTATAGTGATATGACATGTGTACAGTATGTATATCCCAGCCCCCCTGTACTCCATTGTAGTGATTTGACATGTATACAGTAATGTATATCCCAGCTCCCCTGTACTCCGTTATAGGGATATGACATGTATACAGTAATGTATATCCCAGCTCCCTTGTACTCCATTATAGTGATATGACATGTATACAGTAATGTATATCCCAGCTCCCCTGTACTCCATTATAGTGATATGACATGTATACAGTATGTATATCCCAGCTCCCCTGTACTCCATTATAGTGATATGACATGTATACAGTAATGTATATCCCCCCTCCCCTGTACTCCATTATAGTGATATGACATATATACAGTAATCATTAACTGTATACATGTCATCACTATAATGGAGTACAGGGGAGCACAGTAGAGCACACACAGGCAAAATAGTAAACTCACACATCACACAGTTAACCTTTTGATCATCCCAAATGTTAACCCCGTATCATTAGTACAGTGTCAGTGCTTTTTATTAGCACTGATCACTGTATTATTGTCACTGGGGATGTCAGTAGCAGTTAGTCGGTTCACCCCCCAGTGTCAGAATGCCTGCTGCAGTCCCACTATAAGTCGCTGATCGCCGCTATTACTAGTATAAAAAAATAAATTCCAGTATCTATCTATTTGTAGACGCTATAACTTTCAAGTAAACCAATTAATTTACATGTATTGGGATTTTGTTGTTAGCAAAGACATGTAGCAGAATACATTTTTTGGCCTAAATTTATGACGAAATTTGATTTTTAAATTTTTTTTTACTGGATATGTTTTTAAAGCAAAATGTAAAAAATATTGTTTTACTTTAAAATTGTTGGTATTTTTAGTTTATAGCGCAAA